CCCCCCCCCCCCGTCAGAAAATAAATAAAAATAAAATAAAATAAAGCAAAGTTAAATGAATAGTAATATACACTGTCTAGTTTGACGGTTTATGAGTTAAAATAAGATCGATCTGCTGAGCCTGATGGACACATTTATTAATTTAATCTGTCAATTTTTTCATGAATCTTGCATTTTACTGCTGAAAACGGAAATTTTACTATAGATTTATCATACCTATTTCCTACCTGAGAGGCAGAGGGGCCATTTAAAATGAGACACCGTCTTTTTAAAAACTTAATTTTAACCAATTCATCTTATGAGCTAATGGACCCTGAAAAGGGGCTATGCCTCTCTTTCAGTGCTGCCTAACGTTACTTTTTTCTCTTGCTGAACGCCATTATCTATTGCTAGCATCATTCCATTTATTCAAGTTCACTTGCTTAATCAACTGGCTTTGACCGAGACCAAGTAAGATTTGGACGGTTGATGCATTCCGTTCCCGAAGGGACTCCAATGAGAAATAGACAGGGACGCTCGTGGGAAAGTTATTCTTAATAATTACACTCCTAATTTTAAGAGAGTTTTATTTGCTACGGCTAAAAAAGATAAATAACCAACAAAGTATAACAGCATTCGTTTTGTTATATAGATTGTCGGAGTCGAAAGCAAAAGCAGAAGGATAAACCAGACACAATGCACGTTCCAACGCTTTGTGATTGGTTTAGTTCTTCTGCTTCTGCTTGCGACTTGAGCTCCGGCAGCCTTAAAGTTTTCACTTTATCGCAAACGACGGAGTCGCGTAAGGCGGAATCAGAACGCTGCTTTCACTAGATCGTTAGGTCATACGCTTCTGATTACAAGTCCGACGCTGACTCCGTCGCTATTGAAAACCGGCCTTACGGAACGGCCGCTGGTCGTTACAATCTTGTCGGGGACTTCATACTAAATTTTATCTTCGTTTCCTGGCCGAACAGTTAGGATATCATCCAGGACCTTCTTCATTCACACCTGATTGAAAATATGCCAATTATTTACTTTGTATTGCAGCAGTGTACTTTTTACGGAGTCGACGGCCACATTGGTTAATAACTTTTTAAATATTTTAAAATAGATGGATGGAATGGATGGTGTTTTTCCTTAAACCTCGTTCATTTGTTGGCGAAATCTCGAAAAATTGGTTTGAAGCAGGAGTCTTATTAGAAAAAGGCAGTTTTTAATTCGGTCTCTTGAAATTAAGCTCTGAATAAATCTGAGTCCTGTTTTACAGGAAACCGCCGTCAATCGGTCAGATTACTACACCCAAATAAATGTGACACAAACATTGCCGTTTTTTTTTTAATGGGAAAAGTTTCCCAACAAATTTTTTTCAACAGGACCACCATATTGGTAAAATGTTCTAATGGGCTAGAAGTTTAAAAACTTGTTGTCACAAAGATCCATGTACTGCAAACAGAATACCGTAAAATTCCGAAAATAAGCCCCGGGGCTTATATTTTTCAAGGGCCCTTTTTGAGGGGCTTATTTTTGGAGGGGCCTATATTCGGAGGGGCTTATGTACGGAGGGAAATTTGCGTTATAAAATCGGTTGGGCTAGATTATAGTGGAAAGGAAATTTACCATTTTTGTTTTGTTTTACTTTGTATTCGAGGGCAAATTCTAAGTACAAGCCCCCCGGGGGGGCTTATATTCGGAGAGGCGATTTAACGGCGGGTTTTTTGCGTTACGATTTCGAGGGGCTTATACATGGAGGAGCTGATTTTCGGAATTTTACGGTAATTACGCTAGATTATTAAAACACCCCTGTATTGTTTTCTAGATACTCTCAACCATAGTTAAGAGAGTGGAATGGTTATGAAGCCGACTCCCTTGCTCTATGATTTTGTGGGCCTGACGGTACACAACGTTTAATAGCATTCCAATCTTTTTCATCTTACTAACAAATAAAAACGTCTCCTCAGTTCATTCAGTCACAATTTGTGAAGAGAAAACAAAGGATTGAGCACCGTCAGGGAACTTCCAACATAAACTGCAGCAACGTTGTTTTTTATCTTTGATGTTCTGATGTTTGTCGCCTTTCATAGCCAGTCTCCCTTACTAAATATGTCTCAACGAACAAATATGGACCAAAAATCTCCTGGAGAAAGCGAACTCTCATCAATATCACCATCATCACACTGTCGTCTTTTGGGTTTTGCATAAAACAAACGATCATCCTTCTTTTTTTCACCATATCGGTTTATTGCTTCCAAAATCGGAAAATCGTAGTGAGAAGCACCTTGAACGCCCCATTTGCCATCGACTTGAGCACGGGTTCCACTCCAATTGCTGCAGTCTTCAGAGAGAGTAGAGTTATCATCCGGAAGGACTGAATATGAGCCACAAGCCTCGGGTCGTGACGTTAACGGGCTGGCAAAAGTGAAATACTCCACAACAGCCTCGCCCAGCTGATTGATATTGGTCATGATGTGAAACACCGTTCCAGCTTTCTTCTTGTGGCAGTGAAATCTAATCTGTTTAAAACCCATGTTCTTTCGCAGCTTCAGAAGGACACTGGGTAAAACTTTTTGGCGGTGATCAGAATAGCGGGAAAGATCAGTGTAAGATTGAGCTATTAGGATCTCGGTTTCAAAGTGGAGCTTGGATTGTGTAAATGAGACCATTTGAATGGCAGTCCAACCACCTAAAGCATACAGCAACCGTATACAACAGTTAAGGAGACAATACAGTTAAACCTCCATTAAGCGGCTACCCTCGAGGTACCGGCAAGTGGCCGGCAGCCTGATGGAAGTTCCTCATAAATTAGTATAATCGTTAGCAGAAAAACCTCTTTTAACGAATTTCAAACAAACATGCGACGGGAGTGGCATTCTTGGCTGGTCAACAATCAGTCTACACCTAGCTTCCTTCTCACACTGCATTTTCCTCTATCATATTTTTAAATAGTAAAGCCAAACTAATTCTTCTTGAATTGGTGGCCGCTTAATAAAGGTGACAGCAATAGGATAACCCTTGTTGTGATAGCCAAAAGGTAGTTGCAGCCGCTTGATAGAGGCTGACCGCTTCATAGAGGTTGAAATTACAATTTTGTCCTACAGTCGGGACTTTGATTACCAGCTGTTTACTTAGGGGACCGTCTCTCTAAAGAGAACAATAAGTAAGTCCGCGAGACAAATGACGAGTTTATAAAACGACGGAAAAATTAATGTATGTGCGACAACAAAGAACCAAATAAGTGCAAATACTGGTCATTTCTGAAAGCATCTTTTAGTCACGAACCATGAACGAGTAAAAAACACGACTCCTCTTTTAGATTTTTTTTTTGTATTATTCTCGTTTTAATCTTGTTTGCATTCAGTATTTTTTTTCTCTGGCATGATATAAAGAGTTGGAAAAAGGAACAAGGAGAACGGCATAGTCGTTATTTCATATTCTAGTCGAAATGCTTTTAATTAATTGAATAATAATCAATTGGCTTGGAAGGTATTATTGTTTGGAAGCTGTTTTGCAGTTGTTACGAGTAAAACAGATGAAAAAGGGGCGGTTCATCTTGTATAAAATATTGGCTTTACGTTACGCTAGTAAAGCTCTGCAACTGGAGCTGTGTGTCATTGCTATGAGCAAAGCACGAAAGTCCAGATTTTGAAAGTTTAAAAAAAAAAGCCGAAAAAAAAACCTGCTACTTTATAACGTGAAAGTACTCACGGTTCAATCTTTTTAAATTACCTCCATCCGTAGTCATATCACAGTAAACCGTGAATGGGTTGCCTGACATCGTTGGATCAATAGAATATTCTCCGTCACCTTGTGACGTATGCACATGTCTGCAGGAACGGTACATGGGCCTTTTTATCCCTGAAATGCAGAAAATGGAATTGCAAATTGTACCTTGAAGTCAGTTTCTTACTAAAAAGGGATGATCAACATCAAGAACAATAAAATGGCTTAACCCTTTCGATTTTAATTTATAAATTGTAGCTTATGAATCAGCTGTAAAAAATTTAGGTTAATTCAAGATGAAGGCTATATGTGCATATAGATTCAGCCTCACAATCATTTATAATAAGCCTGCAGTAAGTTTGAGTTAATTGTACAATCCCATGTAATTTTTCTTGTATAAGTAATGTACAGATTTGAGCTGATCTGCCGTCTTGTGTATAGTGTTCTCTTCTATTTGCTTTTCAACCCAGAGCATAAGAAATCTGTGCGAATTACTATCCTGGTGCAAGTGTGAATATGACGAATGTGCACTTAGTTTACTTCCACCTAAAGCAGTTCGGGAGTATGCCAGTTTTGGAAGAAGCGAAAACAATGGTCTACGTCACCAACCATAACGTGATCACCATGGCGATGGTCATTTTCAAAACATACAAAATGGCGGACAAGGGAGAGGAGAGGAAAGAGTATTGACCAAAATTGTCGTTTATTCTTGTTTTATCGAGCCTTTTATTTGTCTTTTCGTTACTATGAATTGGGAAGTACCTTGAGGAAAGGGAGTAACCATTCTTGCGCTATAGTTCTTCGCTTATCGCGCGCTTAGTGGGCACTGCGTACTCACTGCGTACTCACTGCGTATGTAATCAGTAGATCGAAAATAGGTAAGCACGCTAACAAGTTTGTGCCTATTTATTTCATTATTTTTTTATATCATAAGGAAAAAAGAATGCTTTGGAAACAACTAAAAAGTGAGTTGTTCTATAATTCATTTCCTTATGTTT